ATTTTTGATGGCTCAAAAAACAACAAAGAGCCAAAGGAAGACATTTAAAATTTCCCAAAAGAGATTAAAATTAGTGGGAAAAATAAAATGGACATAAATAACAATGGTGAACAAAGAAGTAGATAACCAGAAACATTTTTAGAGTGGTGACTACATTTTGTGTTGTGAAATATATCTCTGAAATAATCAATAATCAACAAATGAAAACAAAGAGCCACAGAATGACATATGCACAAAGACAGAAATCAATTTATTGTAAATAAAGATGGAGGATCTCCAAGGATGATCTTTGGGTTACTGAATGTCTCCTTTAGCTGTGCAGTGTTACCCCTGAACTTCATTTATCTTCTGTGTTCCAGTACAAGTTCAGCAGATTTGAACGTGCTGCGAAAGACATGCAGAACTACAGACAGGACTACCCTGTAAGTCTCACACACACACTGTAAACACACACTCTCATGTTTAAGCACAAGCCAAACACATGTTGTTCTTTTATGTGTCCCTGCAGAGCCAAATCAAGACACAGCACAGGAAGAAGAACACAAATGTATGTACACGTTTGTTTTTAGATTTATTTCATAGAAGAACAAAATAAATGGTTTGAATCAAATTCTTTTCTCCTGAGTAGGACGACAAGTCTAATCTGAATTTCTACCTTGGAAAGAAACAATCGGTGCCAGACGGTAGGCCTTTTTACTAGAACAAAGTATAGAGTCAAGTATGTCCATAAAGTGGAAGTGAAATAAATGTTTTTCTGTAATTTATTTGTTCAAGAATGAGAGCTTATAAAATTCATTATTTTATTCAACTAATCCTCTCAATATCTACATGTCATCAGAACCTTCAGTGGCCTTAAACGGTACTGATATTACCCAAGAATGCTATAATCATGAGATGTCAAAAAAAAAAAAGATATTTTTATAGTACAGAAATATCAGTTTGAGCCACCTCAGTGATCACTGGATAAATCTTAATCTGTGCAGCTTCATTTACAAACAGATTTATTTGCTGTGACTTGTATTTGTTACCAGGTGTCAGCATAACTGAGTTCCATAAAAACTGGTATAAAGACTATGAAAGACTTGAGTACGTGCACACATATATTCAGTGGTAAGTTACTCTATAGTCACAAATATGATGTAAAAAGTTCAGTTCCAGTTTGTAACAACATTTCCTCTCAAAGGTTGTTCCCACTGCAAGAACCAGGAGTGAACTATGAGGCCAGTACACTGACAAAGGAAGAAATTAGGGTAAACCTGTGAAAGTTACCAAGTTATAATTTAAAATTAAAACATGTCTTATACACTGATAGAGGTTCGATGTTTCCTTCAGGATTTTCGTAATCACAGCATTGCAAAGAAAAACCTGCTGAAGTCGTACGAGCTCATGTTGGACTTTTATGGTATCGTGTTGTGTGATAAAAAAACTGGAGAAGTCAAGAGAGCAGAGCACTGGGAAGAAAGATTTGACAACCTTAACAGGTAAAACTACCTCTGAATTTAAAAAAATCTGTGTGCAGTAAAAGTGACAAAAAGCT